GGGTGGGGGTGCTTATCACCATTGGAGCTTTTCTCTCTTGTGCCTGCCTCAGGCATGGCCTCAGCTGTTTCATGCGTCTGGTTCCTACTCCTTGGTTAGACGGCTGAGAGGAGGGACTTAATCATACATGCCTTGCTTGACACTTCCTTTTAAAGCTTAGACGTGTGGGCCTGGCACTGCCGGGCTTTGCATCCCATCATAAGGTAAGAGAGATGGGCCTTTCCCTCCAGTGAGGCTCATGTTGTAGCCCACAGGTCATCAATGCTGTTGAGAGTTTTGAGAAATGCCCACTTACATCAGTTTCTGGAATGCCAGGGTACCTGTTGTTCTCATCCTCCCGGGACGTCTCTTCGGGTAGAGCCAGGAGGGGCTGACAGGTGATGAGCAAGTTCAGGAAAGCCTTCTTGACTGTCGTGGGCTGAATTGACTCCTGGCTCACCTGTTGCTTTCCAGTTCCTGGTGTAAAACCTGCTGACTTCCTGGCTTGCCAAATGCACACAGCCAGCAGGCTGGTCTCTGGCACACCCTGGTACTTTTGTGACTTACCAGTTAAATCAGGTCCTTATCAAGAGTCAAGTGTTTGTTCCCAAGCTGGTTTATGGTAGTTTTGCTTGTTCCTATGATTACAAAATGGAATGTGACACCGTCTAAACCAGTGAGGCCATAATGTTAGCCTCAACTCCAGTTTTATAGACAGACAACAGACACAGAGAGGTGCAACAACTTACTCCAGGCTGTGAAGTGGAGTTGGAGCTGGCTGTCTATATAGTCAGCTCTCAGGCCCTAGACCTTAGTACAGACAACGCTACTGTCTCTGTTAATACCTATGTGGCCACTTTGATATCACTCCATAGTCCCATCAAAAGAAGCACAAACATAACTCAACTTTGGGCATATTTTGTAAAACTCATACCATGAATTTATTTTAAGCTTGTGTATGTGCATGCATATGTATATACCATGGAGTGTGTGTAGAGGGCAGTGGACAGCCTGTAGAAGTAGGTTCTCTAACTTGTGGGCTCAGGTTCCTGAATTCAGGCCCTCAGGTTTGGTGGCAAGTGCCTTTACCCACTAAACCATCTTGCTGTCCCCTCTGTGGTGACATTTTACACTCAGGTTCTTCAGGTGTGTTCAAATCTTACTCTGATAAAACCAAAACTACAAGGTAAGGCTGGAGCTGAGCTCGTCCACAGCCCATCCTTGGAGACCAAGCCGCACCCAGAGAGGTGTGCCTGTCCCCACCTCAGATCATGTAGGCTGGAGAGAGGTTCAGATGCTTGGAACACTTGCTGCTCTTTCAAGAGACCTTGGTTCAGTGCCCAGCACTCACATCAGGTGCCCCAACTGCCTATAATTCTAGTTTCAGGAGATCCACACCTTTTTCTGGCCTCTGAATGCACAAATCACTGAGTTTGAGTTTGAGGCCAGCCTGGTCTACAAAGTGAGTTCCAGGAGAGCCAGGGCCACACAGCCTGTCTCAAAAACCAAAAAAACAAACAAAAAAACCCCCCCAAAGTCCTGCTAGGCATGGTGGCACATACCTTTAATTCTAGCACTCGAGGGGTAGAGGCAGGTGGGTCTCTTGAGTTTGAGGCCAGCCTGGTCTACATAGTGAATGCCAGGCCAACCAGAAATATATAGTGAGACCCTGTCTCAAAACAACAACAACAAATTAGATATGTAGGGAGAATGTGTCATTCATAGGGAAATTGTTTTGTCTAATTTTAATTAACTGCGGTATCCAAGTAGATAGATCTGTGTCTCAGTCACTGTGAGGGAAATAGATGAGAAAAGGAGAGGATGCTTCAGGCACAAATGGTCTGTGTGCTGAGGGGTTCCTCTGTGAGGAAAGAACAGTTGTAAAGACAAGCACTGGCTGCTTTTCCAGAGAACCCGGGTTCGATTCTCAGTCCCCCATAGTGGCTCAAAACTGTCTGTAACCCCAGTTCCAGAGGATCTGATACCCTCTTCTGGCCTCCTCAGAAAAGAGGCAAGCATGTGGTGCACTTACTTGTATGTAGGGAAACAGTCATACATATAAAAACAAATCTTAAAAAAAGACTTGAGAGTTAGAGACAGCATTCCATGGTATGGAACAGGGCACAGGGAGGAGGAAAACACTTTTAGAACAAAATTAATTTGTGCACTTGTTTTATACTGTGAAATTTGTAGTACTCATTTGTATCATTGTGATTTTTGTTATAAACTTTTTTGAAAAATAATATTTCACAGAACTTGTCTGTGTTCTGCCAAGTATTGCTGACATGATTCTTATTTTGTAATAAGGTATAAAATGCAGGCAGTGAACTGGGCGGCTCCTCATCTTCCTGAGGGACTGAGAACAGACACTGGTAGAATAGAGGCCATGTGAGAGGGAAGGCCATGAGGAGGCTGCTGAGACCTGTGGTAGCCACCGTACACTGAGATGGCTTGTTGGTTTGTTGTTTTTGTTTTTGGAGACAGGGTTTCTCTGTGTAGTTTTGGTGCCTGTCCTGGATATCGCTCTGTAGACCAGGCTGGCCTTGAACTCACAGAGATCCACCTGCCTCTGCCTCCTGAGTGCTGGGATTAAAGGCGTGCACCACTGCCACCTGGCTGAGATGGCTTGTTCTTGAACGGCATAGGGCAGCTACAGTAAGTTGGACCTTCCCTGCGCTTGAGACAGCCTGCTGTTTGGTGTGCGCTGCGGCAGTCACCAGCTGTGGTCACCAGCTGTGGTCACCAGCTGTCTTCTGACAGCCCAGCTCTGCAGTGACTTTCTGTTTCCCACGTGGGAGACATCTGCATTCTCCCCAGTGAAGGTGGACTAGGTCTGCCATCCCAGAATATGTCAGGCTGTTGTCGGTTAGCTTATAGGATGGACTGGCCTAGCATGGGGCAGGAAGGCCTAACGAGCTGACTACCTGTGCTGTGTGCAGGGTTGTCCATGGCACCCACTGCTCTGCAGCTGAACTGGGAACCAGAGTTTTTTTTCTAGCAAAGAAGGAATCTCCGTCTTTGCCACCCTACAGAAGGCTCTTCCTGATGCTAATGAAATCCTTTTTAAAGAGCAGTCTGGAAGGAACTGGGCTGCTCTTCCTAAACTGAAGGTTTCCAGGGATCCCAGCCAACAGTGCTGGGTGTGAAGAAGGTGGGATTTCCAGTCCCTTCCACTATCCCTGGGGTCTTCTTCTGATAGTTGGGTGTTAGATTAATCTTGGGTGTTAGATTCCCACCCACTCGCACAGAAGCAACTTTGAGACACAGTTTGGGTGTGGATGTTTGCATGTAGGGTTGGTTAATGGAGATAATGGAGTTGAAACCTCTGTCTTGTGTCCCAGAGGCCTCAAGCCCTAGGTGTGGTTAAGCAGGGCCTCCAGAGCCAGACAGGCTGGACCCAGAGCTGGCTTTGCCACATTTTAGCTGACTGCACTTGGGCAAATTATCTAGTGTCACTAAGACTGAACTTCCTCTCCTGTCAACTGGGCTAATAGTGACGTTTACAGGACTGAAGCCTTGTGAAGGTTAAATGACCTTATCTGTAGCAGAATGCTCAAGACAAGAGCGGGCCATGGTGGCCGTGCCTGGAACTCGGGACGCAGCCTAAGTTAAGTGCAAAGTATTCTGCATCATGAGTTCCAGCCAGGGCCACAGTGAGATTGTTTAAAAAAGAGAAAACTTTAAAAAAAAAAAAAAAAAAAAAAAGCCCAAGACAAGCTGGGCACATCACCTGTGATCCAGAAGCTACGGCAGGGGCATAGTGAATTGGAGCCTAGCTTAAGACAACCCCAAGGGCCTGGGGATGTGGCTCAGGGGTAGAGTACCTGCCTAGTGTGCACAGCCTTCTGGGCTTCGTTTCCAGCACCATTGAAATTTGCTAGGATTAAAGGCGTGTTTGACTCTGAATCCCAATTTTTAGGGGCTGAGGACAGGTGGATTCTTAGATTTCTTGTCTTTGTTTGGAAACATGTGCTTTCTTGATCTTCAATAACCCCAACTGTCAGGCCAGTCTGTGGATACCAGGTAGTCAAAGCAGCCAGCGAGAGCTCCTGTTGGCCGGCCACCCTCCTGTTGGCCTCCCTCGTGTATGGCCTAGGTCACCAGCCAGAGGTGGCAGGGGCTGACTTCCCTCACTGTGACCTGTTTTCAAGGTAGGCAGAGCTCTGCTCCCAGGCAAGCAGAATGTAGTGCACAGACTTAGGTGACAGAAGTGTGAGTAATTAGAGCCCAGTCCTGGCCCTGTTGCCATGTGTGGAGACGTGTTAACATGTTGGCATCTGTGTCTGTGCCCCTCCCTCCATGGCTAGGTTTGTAGCTGTGTGTCTGGAAGGAAGTGACCTGCAGGGAAGGAGACATGGAAGCATCTCAACAGCACCATGCTTTCAAATGGGTCCATTGCGCTCTGGGTCATTCCCTGTTAAGAGGGGCAAATCATGACAATTCATAACTATGGAGCTTCTAAAGCAAGTCTGGCACTGTGCTAGACTTAGGCCATCTTGCTTTATACTCCTAGCACACCCCAGGAAGCAGGTGCCAGCGTTAATCCACCTCAGCAGAAGGAACCCTAGCCTAAGAGGATTGGGTCACAAAGCTGGCAAGTGTCAGCTGAGATGTGAGCCCACAACACTAAGGGCCTTACCTTTCTCTCGGACTGAAGAAATTTGGGAGGATCCAGTGACCTGAGGCTGTTAGTGTGGGGAATACAGACGGAAGTTAGGACAGCAGGAAATGCTAGTAGCATTCCTGGTCTCAGGACTTGTCCTAGGGCAACGGCCTCCATCACTCAGACTGGGACTCTGGAAGCCAGCACTGATTAGTAGATGATGCAAACAGGAATGTGGCCAGTGGCCCTCCGTTGGTTCCACGGCATTGATGTCTGTGTGCCATTTTCCAGCTTTCGTGGGTACGTGGAGAGCAGTGGCCTGGAAAGAACAGTCACTAGCCATGCCCCTGGAATTCTGGCACTGTCTTCCTGATGCACAGAGCCCTACCTACGCATAAACATATAACCAAACACCTCATAAACACATAACCAAAAAAGCTTTTACTTGGAAGTAAGCACATTTCAGCTAGAATACTGACATGTTCTCCCCTCCTCAGCAGGAGGCTTGGAGTCTAGTAAATTGCACAAAGTTCCTGATTAGTTTACTTCTCTTTGGCATAAGTCAGCAGAGCCCCAAGGGCCAGCTCCCCACAACTAGGAGCTGTTCAGAGTGTGGGGCCCTAAGGGGTACAGCTTAGCAGAAGACCTAGGTGGTCTCCTGAGTCTGGGAAGCAGTGGCTCCTCCTAAGCACTGGTGTCCACTGGCAGATTGAGCAGCACTGGTTTCCGTGACGAGGCTCCAGGCGTCTCCTGTCACCTGTGCAGTGTCAGAACTGGGGCCAGGTGACTTGTCTGGAGGAGTGAAGTGGCCAGGACGGTAGCCTGTGTCACAGCTCTGGAAGGTTCCTGTCAGCTTCTCCGGGCATCCGCTGTTGTCCGTCATCTGGGTTTTCCGGGCCGCACGGGGACCCTCCTGTTTGTCCTCTCAGGGCAGCAGCAGTGCGCACAGCAGCAGCTGCAGGCTATCAGCAGCAGCAGCAGGACGGTGGCTGAAGGAAGAGGACGGCAGGCCAGAGCTGAAAAGCCTGGGCAAGAAGGGATGCCCGCCCGCCCTCCTTCCGAAGAACCTCCCCAGTCTGGGTAGAGGCTGCCCGGTCTGTCTGTCTCTTGCTCCACTCCTCCGCCTGACTCCTTTTGGCTGGCGGTATCCAGTTCCCAACACTGCCTAGCAGCTCAGGTGGCGTCAGAGATGTGGCAACTCCCTTAGCTTCCCCTGGGACACTGCTTTTCCTACTTACCTGAAGGAGACTCACCAGCCTCCCAGCCAGCACCAGGGCTTGCTCTCCTGGATATCAGGAAGAGCCCATGGGACATGGAGGGGACAGGGCTAAAGGGCCAGAGGACAGGTGCCCCACTTGCCTGTGAAAAGAGCGATGATGGAGAAGGCGGCGAGCTCCACGGGCTCGGCCTGGGGCAGGCCCTGCAGCTTCCGCAGCAGCCTCTCGCCCACAGAGCGGATCTCCTCCAGCAAGTGCGCGGCTGCCATGTTGCTAGGCTCCTGTGTTCTGTAACCACACAGACAGCAGCACCTCAGAGTCCCTGCCGAGCTGCTCAGGCCGGGAGGTAGCGCCAGTGAACCGGCCTCTCCCACCATAGCCTGCAGAACAGGTTTGTCAGCCTCAAGCCTGTACCACTGGTGGGTCCCAGGCAGAGGGAGACAGGGAGTCCTGGGAGTCTGCTCAACCGTAGGGTAGCCCTCAGCCCACACTTGGCTGGAGCTGCCCAGGGCAAGGAAAGCTTGTGATAAATGTGACCTGGAGAGCCTCGGAGGGACTGCCAGACAAGGCCGCGGCTGGCGAAGGTTCTGCCCGTCAGATGTGACTTTGCTGTTGCATGCCTTTGTCTTGAGACACCAATATCCGGTTTGGCTGGGGTGCCTCAGCTGACACAGCTCCCTGGCCAGCCTTGGGTCATTCAGGATTTCGGTGCCTCCCCTAGATGCCCAGAGTGGCAAGACAGCCTTCAGGATTCTGTGTGGGAGGAGAGTCAGACTCCAGGTTTATGGGGACCCTAGCTGGGAGGGATCAGCTCTAAAAACTGAAGGAGGCATTGTCACTTGAAGGATATGAAGCTGAGTCCCCAAGAGCCCTCCTCTCCTACCAGGCCAGTTTCTCTACTCACATTATTGTCACGTGAGGAAGAAAGGACCACACAGTTTTCCCTGGGGGCTTCATCTCTTCAGATGGGAACAGGAGTTCTAGGACTGGCCCAGCCAACTCCTCCCCTCCTGGCTTGGGCCTATTCTGTTCTACCCAGGAAAGGCCTGACTGAAGAGGGATGGCGGCCAGGGCTTCCGGAGAGGGCCCAGTCAAAGCTCTCAGCTGAGTTTGTGTGTGGAGGCATTGAGCGTCAGCGCTCCCTCCCCTCACATCTCTCCTGAGTGAGAAGACAGGAACAACCTTTTCCAATGCAGCCAAACAGGGTCTTCCTAGCAGGTGGGGCAGGTGACCAGGGCTTGTGGCTTTGATGATTGACACCTTGGCCCTGGTCTCAGCCTGGCAGGCGGTCCCTCTGCTGGTCCCTCTGCTGTGGCCTGTGAGACTGGTCACTCCCAGCACTCCTGCGTGGCACTAGCAGGTCTAAAACTACCTTGAAGGTCAGGCGATAGGTCATTCCTACATGTGGGCTCTCTGCACTTGTGTTGGGCAGCCTCTGCCCGAGCCTTTGAGAGAGAGAGGCCCTGGCTGCCCACCCTTCCTGTTTGGAAGGCCAGGCTCTTGCACCTCCACTGAGTCCGACTTAGTCACTCAGGCCCTGCCTGGCTGCCCTTCTTCCCCAACAGTTCTTCAGGAACCGGATCACAGCGCCAGCCGCTTGGACCTCCTTTCTGTAAAGTACATGGTGGTGCCTTCTCTGAATTTGTTGTTCCTGTTTTGTTTTCAGTTTTGGGCTACTGGGGAACGAACTCCAGGGCCTTTCTTATGCTAGGCAAGTACTGTACCACAGAGCCCAGCCCTGCGGCACCTTCTCGGACTTCACCTGCCCTTCATAGAAATGGGTTTTCGTCTGTTTGTTTTTAGAGACAAAGTTTCTCTGTGTAACCCAGGCTGTCCTGGAACTTGCTCTGTAGATCAGGCTGGTCTCGAACTCTGCTGCCTCTGCCTCCCAAACTGGAATTAAAGGTGTGCACCACCACCTCAACCTGTCTCAACTCCTCCCCATCTGTGCTGTGGACAGGCTCTTTATCTCTGTGTTGTTATGGAGAGGAGAAGCCCTAGGGAGGGGCCTGGCTGCAGGAACTTTGCGTGGGTACTGACAGGGCCAGGAGAGTCAAGGATGGACCCAGTCACCACTGCCCTCCTACTACCCACACACTCTTTATGGAGGCCTGTGTGGCTTTGAGCTGCCACATCAGACAGCACAACTGAGTCCCCGAGTCACGGACCATACGTGGGCCTTGTGCAAGAGCCAGGCCATAGCTCTTTGGAAGCCGTGAGCTGTGCACATTGAATACCACCTCTTGTGGGACTGGGCCATCAGTTTTATCAGCTCATCACCACCAGAGTGGGGCACACAGGCTTTTTGAGAGCTGTGTGTGTGTTATCTGTCACTGACTGAATAGATCTGTGTGTCCTGCTGATTTGAACATAAGAACATTCCCTCTGGTCAGACTGAAGGGATGCTGCCTCTAGCCAGTTGCAGCGTGCTTGCAAAGGTGAGCCATCCGCTCTCTGTCCTGGGACCTCTGCACCACCCCTCCCCACAGACATAGTGTGCATATGGTTCAGAGCCAGGGCTGTTGTCTCTCACCCTCCCTCTTCATCTGTGTTTGGTCTGGCTTGTTCAGCCTGACTGGCCCTGTGCCCACATTGCCTCACGAGCCCAATGGAGACACTCCTTAAATGCAGAAGCAGGCAGGAGGTTGGTGGTCAGGAGCACTTTCTGTGTGCCACACCCAAAGGCCTAGAGAGAGAGTGGTGAGGGGAAGAGGAACCTGCTTGGCAGGGATGGCAGGTTGGGACCCTAGGTCTCGCTGAAAGGTCTCCTAATGTCCAATTTCCAGGCAGGGCAGTGGCTCGGGCTCGACCTGCTGTGCAGAGAAGTCAGGATTTGTCGGTCAGAAGTCCCAGCCCGCAGAGTTACTCTCGGCTTCTCTCTTGCCTTCTCCCACTCTTCCCTGCACTCAGCTTGGTGTGTGAAGTTGGAGAACTGCAGCCTCCTGCCCAATGTAGCTGTGCGCTCCTCTGTAAGAGTGTGGACAGCCTTCTAGCTCTGTGCCTAGGGCTTCTACAGGCAGCCTGCTGGGAGCTAGGTGGGACCTGGCCACTGTGCAGCCTTCGGATGTGCCTGGGGCTGCCTGCCAGCTCTTGCCTGCTTTACCAGCAGAAGTAGGACTGCTGGATATGGCTCTCTGCCCTCAAAAGGCTAAAGAGGAGCCCTCTTTGCTTGGCAGTTGATATTTTGTTATTTTAAGCTCTGACCAACAGAACAGGCACATGACAGAGGGGGGAGCAAAGGGGTCTTGTTCTCCAGAGAGGAAAGAGGCACATTCCGGCGGGTCCCCAGGCGTCCTCCCAGTGGGCTATTTAAAGCAGAGCCAACAGACGCCTGGTACCCAATATAACCAGTGGTTATTAGGTGACCTTGCTCTCCAGCTGTGGTCAGGGGGAGTGGGAACTCTGGGGCCCTCCCTAGGTTTGGGGGGAGCTGAGCAGAGCTACTGGTAATTCTGTGTTTCCTAGACTTTCTATTACAGGTCCATCCAGTTCTTTCTAAACCATACTTTATGCCCAAGAACTGGGGGACTAGAGTCTTTCTTAACACCATGTTCAGTAGAGCAAGTGGTGGCTTCCTCTAGAGAGCAGTCCTGGCTGCCACCAATCCCACCTGTTGCCCAGGCCGCCTGCACAGCACTTGGAGCCCTCTGAGGATGCTCCTGGCTGGGGTGCAGACAGTGGTCAGGGAGAGCTGCACAATAGAGAAGGAAAACTAGCTGGCTGGGGGAACCGGTTGGCATTCCTTGGTGTGGCAGGTGGCATTGAGGTTCTTGCTGTAGGCCAGACAACTGCAACCTGGTACCACAGCCTCTCTGCTTCCTCATTGTAAACCTGGTAGTCAACTCCAGCTGCCACGTGGACAGGGCAGGCAATGTGTCTATACCTGATAAGCAGCGCCACTTGTCACTGGTAGCTTGCAACCCCAGAGGACATCTTGCAGTACCCTGTTGTTGTTATGGTGGGTCTCAGCCACTTTTGTCCTGCAGCATATTGTCTTGTTTGAGAAGCATCTTGAATGAGGAATAACCAACAGATGGGAGAGACCTGAGGGTCCCAGAGGCCTGACTGGAAGGGCGGAGATGCCTACTGTGTACCATGCTGAGTATCTGAGCGACTCCATCTCTGTGGGGCTTTAGTTTGAAATCAGAAATGAGTGCTTGAAGCCTTGCTGGTTCTGCTGCCCTGGCTCCCGAGATTTCCAGAACAGGGAATGATCTGGTGGCCAGTAGAAATTAAGGGAGCTCCTCACCTGCAGCCATGAAGCTGGGCTTCCCTCTTGTCTTAGGGACTGTGGAAGCCAGTGTTTTGTGGGTGCAGGTCACCCTCCTGCCTCTGGGATCCTGTGGCTAACAGCTTACAGCCATGCCCCTCCCTCACCTCTCCTAACTGCTGTCCCCATTGTGGCTCAGTCTGGGGGCCTCTGTACTGCACTTCTCACTGTTAACGCAGGAGTTAGTTTCCCAGCCCCCACGTCGGCCAAAGCCCACTCTCTCTGCTGAGCCAAGGACACTTGGCCTTCTCCTTGGTTTCCAAACCTGAATGATATCAGTTTTGCTTTCTTACTGGATAACAGCTTGTTTGCTTTGGAAGGAACATCTTGGGGGAACTTGAACCCTGGTGTGAGGACAGGAGGCAGGAGGGGTGAGCAGCCTTCCCTCGTGAGTCCCTGCCCAGGAAGGTTGTGTGTGTGCTGCCAAAGAAGGAACCAGTGAACAGCTCGGTCAACATTACAGTGGTGTAGCCCAGAGAAACCTGGGGTCACTCCCCAGCCTCATCCATGTAGTCATCATCTCCCCTCTAACCCTGGCTTTAGAATCAGGCATGCATGTCTCTGGTTCAGTTTTCAGAGATCACAGCCAAAGGAGGACCCAGGGGGTCCCAGGAATCTAAGTGGGTGCAGAGACTCCTCCCTGGGCTGATCCTGAGCTGAAAACATGTAGCAATGAGCAGGTCTGAACTCAAAAGACATGGAAGCTGCTGCTTTTGTCCAGCACCCAAGTAGGCGGTTCTGCTAGATGCTGGGGGCTGGAGGCCAGTGAGCTGGCTGGGCATACCTTGTCCTGATCCTGGAGGCCAGTGAGCTGGCTGGGCATACCTTGTCCTGATCCTGGAGGCCAGTGAGCTGGCTGGGCATACCTTGTCCTGATCCTGGGGGCTGGTGAACTGGCTGGACATACCTTGTCCTGATCCTGGGGGCCAGTGAGCTGGCTGGACATACCTTGTCCT